ATATATATATATATATATAGATATAAGGTTAGCTATTTTATAAGATTGAAATATTTTAGAAGTAATGCAGAGAAGTTTGTAATCTTAAGTTATAGGTTAAAACAGTAATAGTTTTTTTACAAAACTGGGAATGAACAAATTACACTGTAGCATTTTTCTGGGTCATCAGGCATAATATTGTTTTTAAACAGTGTTTGTATGCCATTCTGTTCTTGTTTACAGGAATGAAACAATGGACACTATATAATATTTCTATCAAACTTCAACATTTTTAGTCCATGTAAAGCCTTAAGCAAGGACTTCAAGGTTGCGTGCAAGAAACTTAAATATAAAATACATTTTGTACCCATATGTAAGATAGAATTCTGGGATTAAATATCCCAGTTTATTAGGTAAGTAAAAACGAACCAGTGCTAATGAAACCTGTTAGTCAGTCAAGTAACCTGTAGTTGGTACGTTTTTAATATCTTTCTCAGAGAATACTATGTGATTTATTTTAACTTATGTAATATCTGCTAACAGGCTAAAACATTTTAGCATGTTTAATTCTATTAAGTAAAGTAGGTTTTTAAGTCCCTTTTGTATAATGTTTGGTAGACGAGAAAAACAAACAAAAAAAACAGTAGTTCAGTTCTTTCTAACGATTTAACTAAACAGTAATTTTGAAATAAATCAGAGGAAGACTTTAACCCAAAAATCTTAAGAAAAAAAAGGGTATTTTTTAAAGTTAATTGCTGTAATTTTAATCCTATCTTCAAACCTATCTATGTGTAACATTTTACAGTGCTTACTTTGTCTCTTGGAGTTCCGGGAGACTGCGGTGTTCCATTTCCAGTTCGCAAAAGTAAAGATAGAGGAGGGGATTCGGTGCTTAGGAAATCCCCTTTCCCGGGAAAAGCTGAAATATCTTTCTCTAACCCTAGAGTGGGAGATCTTCTTTCCACAGATGCTGCCCTAGAAGTAGGCATATGCTCAAGGGGTGTTGGTGATGAACCAGCAACGACGTGGCGTGACGTCACAGTGGCCATTGTGGTAGTTGATGATGTGACCAAAGATGTTACTCCACAAGTTAATACGGCGGAAGAAACTAAGGATTGGGCACCGTGAGAGGAAGTAAAAACTTTCTGGTTTGCCAGGTGTTGATCTATCTGTTTAGATAGAGGGTCCACTTGATGTATTTGAGCCGTCACCTTCATAGTGTGGCCTGCCTGATCAGTAAAAGAATCCGTAACCAATACTTGGTGATCTGACTGCTTTTTATCATGTACTTTATTTGACGAAACAGATGGGGAAACTGGGCGAGTAGTACTTACTGATGTCGTAGGAACGCCCACAACGTTCATTTGTGGAGCGAAAGGTGTCGTTACTGGTACCTTGACTTGTGATGATACCTTTCCTCTTGGTGTCTGAGCAGCCATAGCAACAGCAGCCTGCATCTGTTCCATGGTGGGCTGAGGGAGTCGTCTGTGAATTCTTCTTGGTGTACTGGGCTGTGGTGGAAGTGCTGCATGCTGTTGTTGAACGACAGGTGTAGCTACTTCGGATTCAGATATGGCAGGCGCTTGTCGCTGTTCTTTGGTGCTGTGAGGAACACAAGAAACAACATTTTGATTCTGGTCTTTTGGGGTATCTGCTTCATGCCCAGAAACGACGGAAGGACGAGGTGGAGAAATAGTGGCGTTCGTGGTGAAATTTACTTTACTTTGTTGATCTTCTATTGGAGAGCTACCAGAAAGACCAAGAGCCTTGTTAAAATCGGCTATCATCCCGGAGATTGTACCGCTGGTGGCTCTTGGAATAGATGCCTGAACTATTGGTTTACTTTGTTCTTCTTCCTCAGCTTTTTCTCGAAACTTTTCCATGAGTTCTTGCTCAGCAGCTTCGACCGAGGGAGACACATCCATAATTGGAGACAAATCCGACACTGGTGACCAGTCTTGTGGTTCAGGTTTTGGTTTTTGTTTCTTTTGCCCTTGCAAGTCGATGCTTTTAGGTTTTTGTTTGTTGGATGCTTGAGCAGCAATGATTTGTTGATGATCATCAGCCTGAGAGGACTGGATTGTTTGTTGTTGCTGAGGGACACTTTGGGATACTGAAGTCAATGGGACTGTTCTTGGAAGAGAAGTTGAAACACTTCTATTATCTTCCATGTCTTGATGGTTTTCTTGTGCTGTTGAAGTCACAAACCCTAAAGAGCCAGAGACGGGGAGTTCTCTGGATGTATCTTGGTACTGGTGATACTTTTGTTCAGTGAAAGGCATTGCCAATGTCTGGTGGGGTACTGACTGACTACTTATCTGACCTATTTCGTCCCTTCGTTGTTGTTGCTGAGGAAGGATGTTTCCATTAGCACCATTAACACCTTTGTCACTTGTTCCCTCTGACTTCTTAGGGCGGGTATCTTTCAAAGAAGAATCCTTAGTTCCAGTTCCAGAAGCTGTACGATATGTCTGTCCCACACCTGAAGCAAGTGATACATTTCGTTTGAGGTATCTCATTAGAACAAGCATAGTGTATTGAATACTGACCTTGAAAACCTATTGTTTGCATCTTTGAATCAATTTCTATATACAGAAAGAAACTAAATACTAAAAAAGAGAGGGTGTTAAAAAGTTGGTTTTACAAAATTTTCTTTTGCAAGTGATCACATAAACAGCTACAAAACATTCCAAAAGAGAATCCCTATTTGAGTTCAATAAATTTTCAATTTCAGCTTTTTGGTAACCACATACACAACTAGGTTTAAGTGCCTTTAATTACGGCACATAAAACTGTTGTTTATCAGAAAATAAAAGTTGAATGTTTAACGAATACCCTATTTTTAAAGAAAATACTTTTATTATTAAGTCAGAAAATAATTGTTTTCTCTCTCCCATAATTATTCATATTCCACCATTCCTTGTGCTGTCATGTGGAATATAATAAATGCAGGAACAGCATAAGAACACACGTAAAATACTTAACATTAACCAATCATATTCAGTAACCCCTTCCTCGTGGCTCAGCAGTAAGTCTCAAGGATTATATCCCCAGAAACTGGGTTTCGATACCCGAAATTTGCACAGCGCAGATAGCCCGTTGAGTAGCTTTGTGTTTTACAACAAAAAAACAAATTCAGCGTGACAAGATTTTATATGATATTGCAATTAACATTATTTAAAGTTTACTCACAAAAGTAGTAAACGTATTTAAGGCACGATGAAAAGATCTAAAAGTTGCAAGTAGTAAACGTATTTAAGGCACAATGATAAAATGTGAAAGTTGCAAGTAGTAAACGTATTCAAGGCACGATGATAAAATGTAAAAGTTGCAAGTAGTAAACGTATTCAAGGCACAATGATAAAATGTAAAAGTTGCAAGTAGTAAACGTATTCAAGGCACAATGATAAAATGTAAAAGTTGCAAGTAGTAAACGTATTCAAGGCACAATGATAAAATGTAAAAGTTGCAAGTAGTAAACGTATTCAAGGCACAATGATAAAATGTAAAAGTTGCAAGTAGTAAACGTATTCAAGGCACAATGATAAAATGTAAAAGTTGCAAGTAGTAAACGTATTTAAGGCACAATGATAAAATGTAAAAGTTGCAAAATTAAGATTGATATTTCTACTTTTTGAATTATTTATTGTTTTTCGTACTGCCTCAAAACTTTATACAGTGACTAACAAGATGTTTTAAACATCGTTAGTTGATGTCTCACCCACGTGACTAAACATTGTTAGTTGATGTACCACACACATGACTAAACATTGTTAGTTGATGTACCACACACGTGATTAAACATTGTTAGGTGATGTACAACAAACGTGACAAAACATTGTTAGATGGTGTACTACACCCATGACTAAACATTGTTAGTTGATGTACCACACACGTGATTAAACATTGTTAGGTGATGTACAACAAACGTGACAAAACATTGTTAGATGGTGTACTACACCCATGACTAAACATTGTTAGTTGATGTACCACAAATGTGACAAAACATTGTTAGATGATGTACTACACCCATGGCTAAACATGGTTAGTTGATGTAGCACAAATGTGACAAAACATGTAGTACATCATCTAACAACTAACCATGTTTAGCCATGGGGTGGTACATCAACTAACAATGTTTAGTCATGTGTGTGGTACATCATCTAACAATGTTTTGTCACATTTGTGGTACATCATCTAACAATGTTTTGTCACATTTGTGGTACATCAACTAACAATGTTTAGTCATGTGTGTGGTACATCATCTAACAATGTTTTGTCACGTTTGTTGTACATCAACTAACAATGTTTAGCCATGGGTGTAGTACATCATCTAACAATGTTTTGTCACATTTGTGCTACATCAACTAACCATGTTTAGCCATGGGTGTAGTACATCATCTAACAATGTTTTGTCACATTTGTGCTACATCAACTAACCATGTTTAGCCATGGGTGTAGTACATCATCTAACAATGTTTTGTCACATTTGTGCTACATCAAAAATGTGACCAAACATTGTTAGTTGATGTATACATAACGAAGTATTGCTAATTGATGTAGTACTCCCTAATTAAACATTATTAGGTGATGTAACGCATAGGTAAGTAAATGTTAGTTGATGTACAACTAGCGATTTCCAAAAAAGACAACAAGTAAACGATTGGACTGGTGGTGAAAAATCGTAAAAATTTACATAACTTTTAAAAAGATTTTCCTCATATGTTCTCGATAACGTTTATTTGTTGTTAAGCGTAAAACAACGGGTTATTTGCACTGTGCTCAAAATAAAGATCGACTTTTGAATTCGTACATTATAAGCCCTGAAACTAACCGCTAAGCCACCTGGAGGTTTTTTTCGATAGTGACGAAATTTAATGAAATAATAAAGTTTTTTATTAATGAGATTATTTTTTATCGATAAAACAGTAACACATTTTTTTTTCTGGGCATGAGTCTACAAAGGGCTAATCGAAGTGTCGATAACACTAAAACAACTTCTATTATCTAATACTTCCTGACACTTCTCGACATTGCTGGTATACAAGTTGATGTTTTTGTGAAATTTACATTTAGCATAGTCTCGATTCATGCTTCTGACCTGGGTGAAAAGTTCATCCAGGGGTTAATGAGATCAGAATCATGGTGAATGAGAATTATCAATTATACAACAAATCCAAGAACAAAAAATTCATTAGTTATTATTATTTATTCTAGTTGTAGTTTGATAAATACATTTATATTATGTTGTATTCATTCTAGTTGTAATTTGATGTATATTTAAGTCATAATAAAGAATTTTACGTTTTAAATTAGTACTTGATTGTCTTTTCTTTAACTGGGGTGAGTGAGTTGTTGTGAAAAACTTATAGGGGTGAATGATGTTGGAAAAGGGTGAGAAACCTTGGTTTAGGTGATAAATTTCGAGTTGGAATGTTATTCTGACACATTTAAGTATATTACCTCTCCAGCGAATCAGGGAAGAAGCGGTGTCGGAATTCAGATCTGAGCCGGCTAGCCGAGACTGTGTGGGAGAAGAGGGTTCGTCTTCTTCTTCAGGGATGGTGTATACTTCTCCTGGGCTGCGATCAAAAAATGCCAGAGGTTGTAAGATTGTAGGAACATCAAGTTCTTCGTCACTGTCTTCTTCTTCGTCTTCTTCCCCCTCCTTCTCGTACTCTTCGTCAATTTCATCAGACTCCATAGACGCAAACTTCAACCTCTGAAAGTAATCTTCTTTCAGTTCTTCTTCAGCTAAATACCCATTCCCATTATGGTCGGTATCTTCTTCATCGATTTTTTCGCTATGTTCAGAGATGATCATGGGTTCGTGAATATCGACAGAACTCGCATCATCCAGTGGTGTAGAATAACCTCGGGAAGTCTAAAAAAAACGACGACAATAACAACGAAAAGGTCATATTTAACATGGAATAACCTCGGGAAGTCTAAAAAAACGACGACAATAACAACGAAAAGGTCATATTTAACATGGAATAACCTCGGGAAGTCTAAAAAAACGACGACAATAACAACGAAAAGGTCATATTTAACAGAAAGATGGATCTCCACAGGATCCACTTTAGCGCATTTTTGTTAGATAAACAATTTATGTTCTATACGGATGTTTGACAGTTAGTCTCAAAAGGCTTAACGTTTCCAGAAAGTTCGAGCTTTACGTCTTTAAGCATTGTCTATTATTTCTGCCAATATATATATTGTGTTATTCTATACGCATAGAACATAATTATAGTATTTTGGCACTTGTTTTTAATTGTGTACCAGTTTAACGTTGAATATTATTTATGATTGTAACGCATAGAACATGTGTCAAAATTACCTTAAAACATTAAGTAGTTTAAAAATTAATCTTGCTCTATCTGAAAAATAGTTATCGGTGTTTTAAGGATAAAGGCATTTAAAAAGTTTCTTGGGTTTTAATTTAAAATTCATATATGGTAAGAAATATAAAATTACACACTTTTCGTTCATAATAGTAATTTACAAGAATGAAGTCCAAGATGACGTAGTATGACGTAGGTTTAGGATATCCGATTCTTTCGAAATGACAGTATTCCGAAACGTTAAAAAAATAGTTTTAGAAAAACTGTTCTGTGTACGTGTTATGCTCGTATTAAAGAACATACTCTTGTTTAAGATGATCTTAAAGTTAAATAGATGAAATTTGAATATATTTCCTGTAAAAAAGCTTAATTGTTAGGAATTTTGATAAAGAATGTGTGTTTTATATATATATATAAAACAGAGTTTGTAATCTAATAAAAAAATTGTACACCAAGGTTTAGCGAATCTAATTATTTACCCTTTCTGAAACTGTGGTTGCACCGGCTTCGAAATCTCCATTTGTAAATGACTCTAGGCCTTGAGTTGAGGTTGTTACATCACTTTCTTCCTTAGACCCTGAACGGTCGTATGAAAATAATTGTTCACCAGTTACCAATTCTGGTTTTGATGAGTAATGGACATTTTGTAGCGAAGACGTCGACGTTTGTAGTTGAGGGGTTGTATTAACACATGTTATAGGAATGATTTGACGTGTTTTAGCCACGGTACCTAAAACAGGTTGTTGGACCTTGGAAGTTTCTGTGATAACACTCGAGAAAACATACTGATCTCTGGAAGGTTCTGAAACGGACGCCATAAACGGTTCTACTAATGCACCCAGAACAGGCTCCTGTACTTTGGAAAGCAGTGTGTCTGGTTTAGATGGCTGTTGAATCCTAATAGGCTCTGTGACTGGCTTAGAAGGCTGCTGAACTCTAACAGGCTCTGTGACTTGCTTAGAAGGCTGCTGAACTCTAACAGGCTCTGTGACTAGCTTAGAAGGCTGCTGAACTCTAACAGGCTCTGTGACTGGCTTAGAAGGCTGCTGAACTCTAACAGGCTCTGTGACTGGCTTAGAAGGCTGCTGAATTCTAACAGTCTCTGTGACTGGTTTAGAAGGCTGCTGAACTCTAACAGGATCTGTGACTGGTTTACATGATTGCTGAGGTCTAGATGGTTCTGGAGTGAATTTAGGTTGTTGTTGTTGAGTATATTTTATTTTCTCGTCCTCCGAAAGTCTTTGAACTTGGCTAGAACTCTCTGGACGTTTGGTTGTGGACTGAGATCGACGACGAATACATTCCACACAAACTCGCACTGAACCCTGTAGTTTGGAAATATGCATATAATTATTGTTTACTGATATGCATTTAAGCGATTCGATTATCAGAGCAAATAAATAAATAACTATATACAAATCACCATATCAAATAAACAGTTACTTAAACAGTTGCTAATCTTTACTAGCTCTTAAATCTTAGGAATTTTGCCTACAGTTCACGAGTAAGTGAAACATGATATTATTGGTCTTCAAAATTCTCGAGTAGGTAAATAATGATATTATTGGTCTTCAGGATTCTCGAGTAAGTGAAACATCATATTATTGGTCTTCACAATTCATGAGTAAGTGAAACATGATATTATTGGTCTTCAGAATTAAGTGAAACATGATATTATTGATCGTCACGGTTCACGAGTAAGTGAAACATGATATTATTAGTCTTCAGAATTCACGAGTAAGTGAAACATGATATTATTGGTCTTCAGAATTCTCGAGTAGATGAAAAATGATATTATTGGTCTTCAGAATTCACGAGTAAGTGAAACATGATATTATTGGTCTTCACAATTCATGAGTAAGTGAAACATGATATTATTGGTCTTAACAATTCTCGAGTAATAAAACATGATATTATTGGTCTTCAGAATTCACGAGTAAGTGAAACATGATATTATTGGTCTTCAGAATTCTCGAGTAAGTGAAACATGATATCAATACAATATTTGATATCAAAGATGTTAGCGTAAGTAACGTAATTTTATATATCTCACGTAAACGTAAATACAGATGTTGTTATTATGACAAAAACGTAAAAGGTCGACAACCAAAATATCGAGTAAGATTTATTTATTGCTAGAGACCTAAATGTCTACGGAGTTTTTTCTTTTATCAAAGACGGTACCTTTTGATCCTAAACTCTGAAGAAATAAATGTACGCGGAAGTAGTTATTCGGTGTCGAACGAGATAACTTCGTTACGAAAAGTAACATACCAGCATCCAGCAAGCGACAGGGAACCAGGCACTGATAATCTTTAGCTCGGTTAGCATTGAGCCCGGATATAATTGTAGGAATACGTCATTACTATCCTACGGACAACTATTACTAATAAGCAGAGTTCACTGAAACGGCAAACGGGAAGGTTTCTTAAAAATGTTAATATGTAACAAAAGCACATTGCACGTTTATTGTGTAACTTAAAACTTTTTTTTTATAACCAAGATGCTCAACTCAAACAAAAGTACAATATAATGCCGAATTAGTCTTATCGGGATCTCTTATTTTAATTAACGACAGAATATATTTTTTACTGACTACGTTAGTTACCTGAAAGTTTAACAACAGACAAATTCACCTCCGATAAAAAAAGAGTTAACACACAGTATCACACATAAAAGGCGCAACGAATTTCAAATAAAGGCCCAAAACTCAAGCGCTTTTGGATAGTTGACCACTCTTCTTGTTGTGAAGGATACTCAACTATTCGAAAGCGCTAGAGTTTTGGGTCTTTATTTGAAATCCATCGCACCTATAAATCCACTTATATTTTTAATTGTACTTCTTATAACACTAACGTAACTGGACATAGGGAGATAAAACAAGATAATGATAATAATTAATCACAATAAACATATGCATTGAAAAGCACGCATGTAGTCAGTCATTAACAAATTTATAATACAGCTACAAGATTGACGTAGAGTGTTGACACCCACAACAGTCTGATAAATCATTTTTAATTATTAAAAGTGAGTGTTATGTTTTTGAAAGAAAATATTATTTTATTTGAGACATATCTTAATATATATATATATATTACACCATAACAAATTGAAAAATGAAAACCTCTCCTTTAAGCTGAGCTTTTACAACTGGGTTTCAATTTATAACAGAATGTATCCTTGAATAAAAATCCATTTATCAAGAAACAAAACAAAATTACAACTACTTTGGAAATCATAACGTAATTTTTGGAGACCAAATGAAAATGCTATAAAGGATTACTAGGTGAGCTGACATCTAGCGGACGACAAATAACATTCGTAATAATAAATGTATGCGAATTTAACGAACCTTGCTATCTCCTTTATGTAGCGACGTTCCACATTTTCCACAGGTGTATTTCCCACAGTATGCACATTGCACAGCTGTTTGTGAGGTAAGTTCGGTCATGTGACATAAAGGGCATAACTGATCTGGTCTTGAAGTAGCCCCTGGTGGACCTCCTGAAGGTCTTCTGGAGTTTGCTTCTGTTCGAACGAGTTCTTCTGATGCACTATCGAAAGAGACACCCAACTGTATAGATAGAAATTTCGGTTTATGGTGTTCAGACCTAGAAACATTCCGACTAAAAACAAAAAATCGAGAAATGAACTGAATGAAATACAGTAAAAACACTTTTTATGATGGTACGGTTTTTGTTTTATCCTCGTGTTACAGAAAGTGAAACATACATAGGACCATCACACTTTCTTCTAAAGCTAATATTTACAAAACTACGAGAACCCACTCTCTCTGATAAGCTCCAATGTCTAGGAAGCTGTAACTATCTATACTGTTTACGAAACGATAAACAATCCGTAAAGTTTGAAACTCTACGCAAAAAGCCGCAGTATTCACATAAAAACAAGGAAAGTACGTGCTTAAATCTACAATACGTCTACAATAGTTTCAAAACTACAACAAAACTAAATTGTTTACAAAAATACGAGGAAACTAAAATGGCTACAAAACTACACAAAATCTACAAAGTTTTATATAAAAAACGTACAAAAAATCTGCGTTACGTTTTTATAACACCTTCAGAAACGACCTTTTACTTTTAGTGGTCGATCCTGAAGGTGATGAAAATAATTATATGTAAAAAAACGTACAGAAAATATGTGTTATGTTTTTATAACACCTTCAGAAACGACCTTTTACTTTTAGTGGTTGATCCTGAAGGTGATGAAAATAATTATATGTAAAAAAACGTACAGAAAATATGTGTTATGTTTTTATAACACCTTCAGAAACGACCTTTTACTTTTAGTGGTCGATCCTGAAGGTGCTGAAAATAATTATATGTAAAAAAACGTACATAAAATCTGCGTTACGTTTTTATAACACCTTCAATAACGACCTTTTACTTTTAGTGGTCGATCCTGAAGGTGCTGAAAATAATTATATGTAAAAAAACGTACATAAAATCTGCGTTACGTTTTTATAACACCTTCAATAACGACCTTTTACTTTTAGTGGTCGATCCTGAAGGTGCTGAAAATAATTATATGTAAAAAAACGTA